TCTTTGAAAGCCAAGCAGAACATCCGATGGCTCCTTCCCTTATGAAACCACCAAATGCATCAAAGTTTAATTTAGCAAATGCTGGAAAAAACGTGTCTGCCTGCAGGTTGGTGAAGCCTTTAATGTCTATTACCCTTCCTTTTTGTTCTTATGTGAAAATGCATCTCACATTTTCCCATATGCCTGTAGCAGTCAAATAAACCCTTTTAATCTCACTCTCAGAGGAAACCTTGTTTATTTTATTTTAGAGTTATGAAAATATGTGAATTTTGGATCAGGAAAGATCCATTACACAGGGCAGGACAATAACTGAGCAGGGTTTTAAGGCCTGTTGAAGACAGATGGATTTATGCACAGGTGTAATCACTGCCCTGTATATGGATAAATTTGGTATAAACTCAAGTGAGTTTGGAGATATTTAAAGCTAAAACAACAATTTATGGATTGCTTTTATGTACTTCAATCACATAGCTCAGTATTCAGAAGAGGTACTGTGATACTGAACTGTTGTATTGCAGGAACAGAAATGAATATACTCCTTTAAGTAAAACAGCAAATTCAAGATCTGATAATGGAACTTCTCAGAAGTTTGAGAACTTTTCCAGCAGTTTGAAAACTGTCCAGCAGCAAAAACACCCTGACAGTCGTAACCCATCCCAGCTCATCAAAACAGACACATCCAAAGGACAGTGGCCAGTGAAACCCAACACTGTGGCAAGAAGTCTCCAGGATCGTAATCCAACATATAAATTTAACTACAGTAATCAGCAAAATAAAATGAATGAAAACCAATTTGGTTGTGTCCCAGAAGATAAAAGTCAGGTAAAACTTATGGGCAGGGTTTATAGGAAAGACACAATGAAGAAAACAATAAGGAAAGAAAACTGGTGGAAGATGATGAGGTTTTCATCAGCTGTTAGTAAAACCTGGAGCTTCTGGAAATTTAGAATTGAGATTTTCATACTGTAATAATTTAAAATTCTCAGTAAACTGGCAGGGAGTTGTTTGTATATTCTGAACAAATGCTCTGATTTTAATGTAATTATTGCCTATTTAACATAATAAATAAATGTCTATGTGCCCTTTGAAATAACAAGTGTGTATGTCTAACTTAAGCTTTTGTCTTCATCTGAAAGGAAATTTCATCATCTCAAGTGAAAACTAAAATGAAAAAGAATTCTTTGCGAATCCTGTCTGCAGTCATTCAGAGTGTGAGGCACTGGAGCCAATATGCCTATAAAACTGCACTGTTATTTGAAGTTTTAGGTAAGCATCATAGATTATAATAATATAATCTGATAATAATGCTAGGGCAACAATGAGTGAGAATTTTTCAATGGCTGAAATACTTAAACCCACAATACTGGCATGAACACCATCTAATTTCCCTTCCATTCAGCTATCAAAGGTGACTGAAACAGGTACAAAATTAACACTTCAGTCATCCTCCAACATCAAGTTTTTCTGTCCTCTTTCTTTCCTTGTTTTTAGAACGTGCTAATTTTCTGTTTAGTGGGGATCTTCTGTAGAGTGATACAGTTTTACAATATTTTTAATATAATTAATCTTGGAATGATTAATTTTTGCTTAATGGGACAGGCACACTGGATTCTGCAGTCACACCTGGAGCATATGGGGCAAAGAACTTTCTTCTGAGAGATGGAAAGGAGACGCTGCCTTGTGTGTTTTATGAAATTGTGAGTATTCTGTGTCCACACATAACACAGTCACCACTAGCTCCAACCCTTTTTATGAATGCAAAAGAAAATATAAATTTACAGTGTAAAAGGCAGACTGAATGTTTTTATCATATTGTTCCCAATTCAGAGCAATAGTCACTATTTAGGCATCCTCTTCTGTTTGAGAAAAACAGGTGAGACTTTGAGTTTAGCTTTTAAGTACTTGGTAACAGGAACAAAGCTGATGTAAACGTCTTCTGTTTTACATAGCCCTCAGAAACCAGCAATGTGGAAAGCTTTTATGTGAGGTGATGTAATTGTTTCATGTGTTTATTATGCTTTGATGAAGGACCGTGAGCTTCCACGACTCATTAGAGGTCGAGTGCACAGGTGCATGGGAACCTATGATGCAAAAAAGAACATTTTCAAGTGCGTCTCTGTAAGACCAGCAACTGCTCAAGAACAGAACACTTTCCAAGACTTTGTTAAAATTGCAGATGCTGAGATGACAGCATATGTAAAAACTATGAATGAAATGTAAAAGTCAAAATGGCTGTCCAAGCCCCAGTTTTAACTAATTGTTACCCATAAAGGCTGCACATGCTACAACATTTACCCAAACTACCACTGAAAATCTGGTTAGACATTTGAAAATATCACTGTGCTGTGTTATCCAACAAATGCTGTGTGGTGTTCATTGGGTTCCCATTTATGTGTTACCTGATTAATGTGGTTTTTTTTTTTAAATAAATAGTCAATATAATACCTTTATAAAATAACAACAGACACTGAGGCTGTAGGAAGATTCCCAAGGACACAGAGGAAGTAGAAAAGAAAGAATTATTTGAACACAGAACTTCCTTGCCTTTGCCACAGAAATATTTTTCATGACAGATGGACCATGTACATGTTTATGTGCCTTTGCCTTCAAACATTACCTTTCATAGGTTATTCCTGCTGTTCCTGTTTCCTTTTCCCCTGCTTCAGAAGCTTTGTAGCAGATCTCTTGGGAATTGCAAAACAAAAGAGTTGTCAAGAAAATAGCAAACAGTATGGGGATTTTTTTTATTATTTTATTATACAGTGTTGGCAATTGGAAATTTCACATTTAAAATAATTGAAATATTGTATCCAACAAGTCAAATACAGAAAACAGTTAATATTCTAAAAAGGAGCCAGCTAGTCAACGCAGAAACACATTAATGGAAAATACAGCTTTTAGTTACACTTAAAAAATTATATATTTAGAATAAAACTTGAACCTGGTCCAGCAAATTGTAACAGGAAAACGCTTTTACACAGTTTAACGCGCAGACAGTCTTTATTTTAAAAAGTGATCTGTCAGTGTGAGCACAGGCATTGTCAGCAACAGGTGAGATCTAAGGGATGTGCTTTACCAACTACTGCAAGGATCACTGGAATTATCACCACACTTCAGTGTGAGGTGGGCTCACAGCATGGATGCTTCAAGGAGGGTTGTGCCAATCCAGTTTTAGAGGTCATGTACACGTGTTTGATTTACTTAAATATTATAAAAATGTTATAAAATGTTAAAGGAAGCTCCTAATGGAAGCATTAGCTTGACTCATAAAAGGTGCAGAATTTTGCAGGATGCAGAGGTTGATGAGTTGCACAAGAGAAGCTGAGCTTTAAGAAGTATAGGATTTGGTACAGCAGTGTTGTGAATTGTGAGACTGCTGTAACAGTAATTTAAAACTGCTTCCAGTTAAGTGATTGATGCTTCCAGTTTTGCACATGTGAAACTTGTGTTAATAAGTATTGACAGGAATAGGTCCTTTGTCTACTAGGTACGTTATGGCTGTTAATAAAAATCTAAATTCATTTTTCAGAAAGTGTTTAGATCTTTGCAAAAGAAGTTTCTATTTGACACTAACAAATCACTTTTTCTAGTGAAACATTAAGTGAACAGTCGTAAACATTACACAAAACAGAAAAAACCCTACTCAATACAGTTTATACACACTACTCAACATTTTTCAGTTGTTGGGTGATTTTTTTTCTTGACCATATTGATCCTGTCTTGTATAATGGTTCTAGTGTAAAGGCACAGGTTGGTTAGGAAAGAAAAGCCTGCATCTCTGTCTCTCTACTTTACGGTGATTATTTTCTTTTTGCATGTTGTTTGTTATTCCTCACTTTTCTGATTCTTACATGAAAATTATCAATCTCAGCCATTCATTAAAAAAAATGTAAGACATTACTGAAAAGCACATTAATATACAGAAGTGACTGAAATTTATTCTTCTTACTTTAGGGCATTCCTTCAGCCTATTTTGGTAAATGTTTGGAAGATTTAATTTCTCAGTCCCCGTGAGCAAAAGTGCAGAGCACTCATGCTCTGTTTCTCAGTGTACTTAATTCTGCATTGGAATCTGCATTTCCAAAGAACTTGCTAAGTTTATGTGCAGAAATTGCTTTCAGAGTGCATGGAAATGTAACAACAGGACAATTATTCTGGAAAACAATGCAATGCTCCATTGAAGTTTAGAAGGGTGAGGAATGTAAACAAGACTGCAGAAGTCTTTGATGTATATTAAAATAACACAGTGATTGTTCTGTTTGCATTTTCTTATACATCCTCAACATGTCTCTGTCTGTCCCTTCATGTACACCTTCCATTAAAAAAAATAAAAATTCAGGAATCAGTTGGACTCAGCTAAGTGAAGAATAATAAATTTGATCACCTGGTTTGTGCCAAAATACAAAACTAAGAACTACAGCTCTGAATAAAATATAATCTATGTGATTTTTCTTTTTAATAAATAATAGAAAACAAAAGATGAGAATAGAATTAGAATTAAAATTTTATTTTAAATGAAAAAACACAACAGTGGTGTGAGATTAGAACCCAATGTTTCTTTTGCTTAAGGCAGTCAAGTGCACTTATTTCAATGCTTGATAATAATGAATTCAGTGCTATTGTGGAAATCAGACCTCACAAAATTTCCATACAGACTGATGAAATATGGCCATTTCTGACACAGCATCTGACACATGGTACTTCTGACACAGCATCAGATTTTTGCTGGTCATGTTCAATAGCATTTCACTTTTTTGTTTTAAAATCTGGACTCTGAATTGCAGTGGAAATACTGGAATTAGTTCATTCTGGCTTGTATTATCACTACAGATAAGGGCCATTGGGCACAGACATTTTTGTAAACAGAGATTTTTTTTTCTTTTCAGCCTTAAACAACAAAACCCACAATCTATAGCAGTCACAGTTCAAAACATTTTCTAAAAGTCCACTTAGAATGATAATTTAAAAAATACTGAGAACAAATTCTTAGGATTTTTTTCCTGTTGTTAAAGTATTAAATCGTCATGAAGCCTTTGGAAGTAGTTGACCTCTCAGAAAAAAAAGAAATTTCAGTTTTACCCAAGACTTCATGAAGATGTCTCTATATCTTGGCAATTAGAGCAGAAGTAAAAACTGTGCCCAGAACTTTAAAATATGCAGGTGCTGCTAATATATATAGATTAAAAAGAAACTTTTCTTGTATACAGTTTTCAACCTATCAATCTTAATTTTAGGCTGTGGCTACTAGTAGGTGCTTTTTCACTAATCAAAATGATTGTAACAAAATATCATTATTGATTTTAAAGTTACTGGGTTCATAAAAGTTCTGACATTTCACAATATATCAAAAGTGAATTGAAGCTTTTAAGACTCACAATTTTGAAACACAAAAGAAACTGGGAGGTAGACAGATGTTTTGAGGATAAACTGATTATTTTTTTGTCTAAGGCAGTATGCCATTATCTGTTTAGAGCAGTGTAAAGGCTGCTGATCAATCCTATTTCAATTCCAGAGCGTTCGCTGCTCGTGCTTACGGAAGACTTTCAATGCACTTTTAGTCTTTGTCAATCTGACCTTCTCTTCCCCATCTCCTCTCCTCTCTTTAGCAACACAGCCAACTGGAAGTGCTTCAATAATTTCTGCCCATTAGTGTAGACAGGAATGTTCTGTTCTTAGACAGTAATAAAATACTATAAAATAGTAGGTATTGGAGTTGGAGATATGTGCTCTTTTGGTGCATATTTTGCAAAGAATGGTAAAAAGACAGACAACATGACCCCAACAATTGCCAGCATGTACCCCCATCCAATCTGGCAGTCTCCTGCATAGTAGATGTCTGAGTTCTCACAGAATCTCTTCACAGTAGCAGAGTTGAAACCAAAAGGGTAAACCAAAAGCCCAGAAGCCATTATGAACACTAGAGAGGAGAAAAAAAAAATCACACCAGTTATTATCAAGCATTAATTCCTTAGGAAAAAAGTAATCCTTATTTTAGAAAGGCAAATATATATAATATTAAAATCAATGGGAAAAGGCATAGCTTATAAAACCCCCTTGTGACTGGCAGATTATCCTCCTTTTCATAATTACCTCTTGTAGACAGCAGTGGTGTGACAAGGCAGCAAGTTGGGATTTTTTTCATGAGAACTCTTGCCATTAAATAACTTCAGAAACGCTGTGATCCAAATTATGTAGCCATGTAAAAAGTAAGGTGGTTCAGATATAATGGAATCCAGAGGAGAAGAATTCCTAAGTTGGCAGATTCCAAACCAGCTTCACTTTCTTCTCAACAGCATTTTTGTGCTTGAGACAAACAATTACTTTGTTCTGCCAAATAGAAACTTTCAATGAAAGAGTTCAAATACAATTTTTTAGATTCTGCTGATGAGGTTCTGATAATGTGAGACTCATTAGTACCGACTCAAATTGTTTAAAACATCCTGCATTTGAACAACTGATGAAAAACAACACCATCTTCATCTATCTTCTTTTTATTTATTTATTTTATGTCTCTTGACATGGGAAAGCCAGGCTTGCCTCCTGCAATAACCCTGCATTATCCATTGGCTTTTAATAGAACTTCACAGATTTTAGTCTTTAAAGAATCCATGTCATACTCAAATATCACTATATGCAGGTAATTGAATCAACAGCAGAACCACTTTTCCAACTTTGAAAATAAGACTGCCCAAGGTATAACTCATAAGTAAGATAAAGATACATGAAAATGCCCCAGGAACAGCTCTTGGAACCTGATTCTGCCCAGCTGGAAGTGGAGAGGGGCTGAGCCAGGCTGGTGAGAGGGGTTACACCTCCTTTTGTTTGAGAGAGCACTGAGAAAACCATGTTTTCTTCTCTATCCCTTCTGCTAATCAATTACCACTGTATTTCAAATCTCTATTTTAAAAGGCTTTATTTTATGTACTAAAAAAAATACCATGCAGCAGTTCCTTTTCCTCTCTTCCCCTTTTTCCAGGACAGTGTTCTGTTCAGGATTCAGGGTAGTGATTCAAGAAGCAACCAGAATTAACAGTTATGTTTGAGCTGATAGATAATTCATAACCAGCAAACATCTAATGAAACATTAGGAGTATAAAACAAACACTGTGTGCTATTCTCTGTGTTTGTGATTACCTTTCAGGTAGGACGTGCATATTATTCCAATTATAATATTGGAGAGGCTTAATCTTAAAAGTATCCACTAAAAAAGAGCAATCACTCATTAATCTTTTTAATTAAAAACCACTTTAATTAGCTGAGGGCTAGATGAAGTCCAAAAGTTTAACACACAGCCTGTCAAGTCCCTGAATAATTTGAATTAAACCTTTCCTTCTAGTCCAAATGGAACTGCTGAGTTAATCCCTTGTAGAAAACAGTAAGGTGAAGAATATGGAAATTAAAAGGAGAGAAAGTGGAGCAGCAGCAAAGTCTGCTTCCCTCTGGGTATCTCACATCTGGGTACAAAGAGAAGCTGCCTGCCAAGAGGTGGAACTTTCTGAACACCAAATGTTTCACCTGCTCCAGCAGCCACCCTCCTTCCTTTAAACCTCAGGAAGAATTTTGCAGTGGTTGCTGTGGCCTTTTCCTCTTTCCACCTCCCCCACAAGGTGGGTGAAAGGTGCTGCTGCTGCAAGAGCCAGTAAGGGAAAAGTCCTTTCCCAGCACAGGCAGCATCCTGAGCCAGGCTCACAATTCCTGATCCTCCAGCAGCTGCCCCTGCTGGGAGTGCCCAGGGCAGGGGGAGCTCCTGGAGCTGAGATTTCAGCAGCTGTGTCCCTGCTTTTGGGGCTGACAGGCTGCAGCCATGCTGAACCTGAATACAAAGAAGTTGTATTATGCAGATCTCCCTAACTGCTCATGTGTGACACCCATAAAAACAACATAAAATGAAAATACAGTAAAAATGAGGCTAAACCAGACAAGGACAAGGAGTGATAGTTTTAAATTAAAACAGGGTGGACTCAGAGTAGATAGAAGGAAGAAATCTTTCGTGATGAGTGTGGTAAAACACCAGCACAGGCTGCCCAGAGAGGTGGTGGATGTCCCATCCCTGGAAGCATCCAAGCTCAGGTTGGACAGGGCTCTGAGCTATCTTGTCTAGTTGAAGACATCCCTGTTTGCTCCAGGAGAACCTCTGCAGGTCACTTCCAACCCAAACTATTCCACGATTCTGTCATCTTGTTCAGTAAAGGTCACTGAGCTTTCCCAAAAGAGCTGAGGGGCCAGCACAGCCTGAGAGCCACATGCCACTCTTGCACACCCAGGAAAATTCCAGAACACCTCCTCTGGTGGCAGAAACACGGGAAATAACTCAAAAAAGGGGATATTTTTCCTACTGCTGTTTACAAGAGGGTTAAACCACTAACTAAACCCTGTTAATCCCTGGACCTGTGCAGCTGTAGGTTCCCAGCTGGGATGTGGAGCAGGGGCTGCCCAGGAGCCTGTGGTGCACAGGGGGTGCCCAGCACAGCCCCCCTGCAACCCAGGCTGCTCCACTGCACCAGGAACCTTGAAATAGCCCCGGGGTGCAAAACCTTCTGTGAAATGCTGGGAAAGTGAGCCAGTTTTACAGGAAACAGCCACTGCTCTAAGCAAGAAACAGGTCTAAAATTAAAATTTCAGTTTGTTCATCTTTTCAAAGCCAAAATAGCATCTCATTCGATGAAAAAAAAAAAAAAAAGCAGAATTGGAAACAATCCTTTCAGTGATAAAATCCTTTCCTAACTGTTAAATTTCACTGTTTTTCTGACACTGTCTCAACCCCTTGCTCTGTTTCACATATCTGTTCCATATATGTTTTCTTTTTGATTGGGTTACACAGAATTGTTTTGAAGGCTGTGTTTTACAGTGTTTTGATTACCACTTGGTGCTGATGTTGCGTGGTGTGATTTAATGGAAGCAGCTTTATTTTTTTTTTCCAAGGCTAGAAATAATCTGTCACAGCTGAACGTATATGTTCACATATCAAACGGGCTAAAAAGTTACCCATGGTTTCATATCCTCAGGCATGTCATAGAATGACCTCATTATTCTCATTTAGGTGCCCTCTTTCTTACAAAGGCTCCAAATATTGAATAGCCCCGTTATTACCCGCAGAAGCCGAGCTTTCAGGCGTGGTGCTAATGACTGCTTAATGGTGCTGTCTGTCAGCAGCACAGCGAGCTGGGACAGCACACAAAGGAACAGTGGGGCTCCATTTAGGCTCCTCGTGTAACACTCACGCCTCTGCACGGCTTTCCAACAACAAACATCACTTTCAAAGGTGTCAGAACACAGCAGCGAGTGCATCTCACCGTTCTGCGTGCTGTAATCCTGCTGTCACACAAGGTGATGAGGCCACACAACATATTGGGGTCTGTTCTTCAACATGAAACCTCTGGGGTGTGAGAGGACTTGCTGGAAAAATGCATACTTGAGTTCTTTTTTAACGTGGGTTGATAATTTGATTCATCTCCCATCAGCTATGAATGGTTAAATGGTTACACTGGTTAAAAAGTGCTTTCTTTTTTTTGTTTTGTTTTGTTTATCATGTGCCACATAGGTGTTTGTTATTGCTGGGTTCTCCCCACCTGAGCCCTCTGCAGTAACTCACAGCCACTGCTGATGGCAGCCCAGCGACAAGGCCAAGCACATTGCTTCCACAGTAAGTCATGTTTTATTTCTACTTTCCAATCCCAAACAGTTACAGTCTCATCCTCTTTGCTTCCCTGGTGTCCTACAGCCAGATGGTAAATGGCACTTACTCCTCTGAAGGGTTTGCTAGCCAAGGCCTGGTTTTATTTTTAAATGTAGGTTTTTGAATGGTTGCTTTCTAAATAACTTTAATAGGAATAAAGTATTATTTGAAAGGAGGACATTTCTCTTTAGGGAAAACAGGGCTTTTTGTAGGAAAAAATTGTAAATTGTTGGTGAAAATACTGAATCAATGACACGTCAGAAAAACAGCAGTTTCTGCTAATTTAAAATTAGTAATATATAACTGTTTGTCATTGCAATGTTTTATTCATTTCATTAAGCCCCTGTACAACTGTTTAATTATTTAAATTTCTCACACCATTTTCAAGTTGATTTTAAACCAAAGCAAAGCAGTGCAGTTCTCTGGAGTTTGTGCAGAGGGCACCAATGTACAACACTCTCAGGTACCATAAGAAAAAAAGGCTGTTTCCCTTCCACTTCTTTTGGCAAGACTGATGGAGTTTCCAACATCTGAAACACAATAATTGAATAATTTTCTGTATTGTGAAGCAGGAATGTTTAAACTGGCCTAAGCTGATGTTTATCTTCCATACTAATGTTGAAAACGATGGAAATCCAAAGATGGCTCACAAACATAAATAACAAAAAAAAACCCCTATTTTTTTATTGTGTTTGTTAATATGTTTAGGTGATGTGTAGTAGTGAAATATGCTGTGTGCATGAATTCTCTTCCTGAAATTACCTGCTGTAAGAAGATTAGTTTGTCTCAGAAATTTAATTTGCTTACTTTAGGAGTGTATTATATTCCTGATACTTGTGACAATGATGGATTAATTGCAAGCTTGTGGGACATATCAGATAATCATTGGAATGAGGGTTGAATCATAGGCAAGCATGGCTATTATTCCAACCCTATTACAGATTGTCACAGTCTTATGTCTTCTTGGAAGATCTTTATTGACAGAGCTTAATCTACCAAAGCAATTTTCACTCATCTCATCAAGAAGTTTCCTCTTACATATAATCCATTACCCCTCTTATTAAACCTGGCAGTTCTTCTTAAGCACAATCAGTTGACTTGGAATAACACATTTCCTCTCAGGTTCATACATTTTATTCACCTAATAATTTTATTAGCTGCTCTCCAGCTCTTCATTACTTGCATGATCTTAAATGAGAAAGCAGGTGCTGATCCAAAGCCACAGACAGCTTAACACCAAG